GCTCGGCCGTCAAGGTCTGCACGGATCACCAAGGCGGCATCAACTGGCTGAGCCTGAGCCCGGACGGGCAGCGCCTGCTGACGGGCAGCGAGGATGGCACCGCGCGGCTCTGGAGCACCGCCGACAGCCAGTGCCACGGCCACCTCCAAGGTACCTCCCAGCTTCTTGCCGGTTTCTGAGGCTAAAGCGTGGCACAGGTCACACGGCACGTTCTGGTCTCGTTCACTCGGTGCCGGGCAGCCAAAATCACGAGTGTTTTGTGTTTTTCTGAGTATTTGTTGCAATCGTGTTACACAGAAGCTGTTTCAAGCTGCCAGTGCCGCTGAATGCGTGCATCCTCTTATCTCGGGGTTTGGAACTTAGCAGTCATTTAACTTGGGTCTCTCTCTTTCTGGAAGCCTTCTGTTTTACACTGTGGTGAAATACTGACTTTTTGTTATTGTCTGTCTTTTCTCTCTCTCTTGCTTTTTTTCTTTTCCCTTCTAATCATCTCATTTTCCAGACAATCTTTATTTAGAACCTCTTGACCCAGAAATCTGGAAAGAAAACTTACTTAAATAGGCTATTTCCCCCTCCCCCCACAATTTAACATGCAGAAATGTTAATTGCTAGGCTTTTTAATTTTAAATTAATGTTGTATTTTAGACAAAATTTATTATCCTTAGACTAGCATCTCAATAATTAAAAAGAAAAGAAAAACTCTGTAGAAAGTACAGTCATGCAGGAGTCAGAATGTGGGCTGACTGTATTGTCACCCAGAAGATGTTTGTATTCTCATGTTCTTTTCTCTTAGTTAATTAAAAAAAAAAAACCTTAAATTTGGAATTTCAAATCCTTTTCTCTTCCAAAGAAGAAATGCCATTGGTGTGGGAAAAAAAAGAAAAAAATTGTTTGTTTGCTTGCTTGTTTTTGACTATGGAGTATTGTCTTTTTTCCCCACATCCTGCCATAGTTCCAGCTCCTGGAAAACTCACTGAATTTGCTTTAGGCTTAGAAATCCCTTTAAGCCACTAATTAACTTCTAACTAGAAGGAGAAATGTACTGGATATTATTCAGAATCTGGCCTATGTACTGCTAGTGTTTGGAGTAAGCTCTAAAGAAGGTTGGCTGGATAGTTTGTGGCCTGTCAGTTAAATCAGATATTTGTATGTATTTTCTGTTTATGCACACACATGTGCATATGTTGTGTGATTTTGTGTTGTATGAGCTATAATTACTGATGAACTTATATCTATAACACAGTTTCAAACTTCCACCACAGCATAACCAACAGACTTCTGCGGTGGCTTCTTTTGACCCAACCAGCACCAGACCTTGTCTACCACAGGGGGTTTTGGGATCATCCTTTGTGTGGCTCGGGTATTATTGACAGTTAAAATCTGACTGACAGACTTCAGTGCAGTACCCCAGAGGCTTTTTTGATCTTCTCACAGCAGGATTACGTGATGCTCTGAGAAAAATCCTGCTTGGTGAAACCTGTCCTGTTTAAGCTGCTTTGCAAAAAGCTCTCACAAAAATATGAGGATGGGGATGGGTGTAGTTTTCTTTATAGCCCTGGTGATCTGTTTGATTTTTGGCATATGGTGAATTTGCTTAAGAGGAAACAAGATATGGGGTTTGTAACATGAATTCTGGTTCACTTCTGAACTACAGGAGTTGTAGTAAAATTTGCTTTTTGCAGTCAGTGAAACAAAGGGTTTTACTGGGTAGTCTGCTTTCCCTCAGTTTTTTTACCACCTCTTATTCTACATAGTTGTTTTTCTAACATTTTTGTCTGTTGCTCTGTCTCTCTTTAATCACATCTCTCCTTATATTTTTTTCTTTTCTCCTCAAAGAATAGCATTATTTAAATCACAGTAGAGCCCACCAGCTTCAGCCAAAGCCTGGGACTCTCGTGATAGTTACTGAAGAGGAAACAGTTCTGATCTTGAAATCTTACATTCTAAATAATTAAAACAGAAGACTGCAAGGTCATACTGTCCCATCAATGAGATAGGTGACAACAGTTTCACACAAGAGGTCTCAGACAAATCCTTGAATCCTAAGGTGATTTTTAAATGCAGTGCACTTAATGATACAATAAAAAAATCACGTCTTGCTAAGCAACAACAAAAGCTTAAGGCTGTAATATTGATTCCACTTTGCCAGCATTACCCTGTTTTTCAGCATGAAATTTTTTGACTAGCAGTTGGGTCTATTTTTATTGTAACTGTAGAATCCCAGCACACTCTGAGCACTGTATAAGTAATGGTGCTGTTACTCTTTCTTTTCTGTGTCTTTAAAGGTATACTGATCTTTGACAGTGGTGGGGTTTATGTATGTCATTAGTCATAGTGGGAAAAGTGTTGGCTAACTTTTTACCAGATATATTTTTTTTGCTTGTGTTTCATTCTGCTTGGACAGTGAAACCAAACTCACTGGTAAGTATCATGTCACTTCCTTTTTTCATAGTTTCATGCTTTAATTTGGGGCTGTTTTTCTCTTGACAGTCAATGGGCTGGGTCAAAATGTAGTCTTTTTTTCCTGACTCCAGAAGAAGGAAGCGAAAGCATGTTGTTGTTAAAAAAATAAGCCAATTTTTTACTGGTTTTAAACTTTGGTAGTCTTGAGTTTTATTATGCTGGCATTAATTTAGCTCATTAGGGATTTTTAATACCGTTTGATCTGTCTGATTGGTGGAACTGTACTGTTTTAATCTTTCACTTAATCCTCGTATCAATGAATCAGTTTTCTGTGGTTAATGAAGAGTGTTGCATTTTACACAAATCCTTAAGCATGAGGAGCACAGTGGTGCATTTAAAACTGGAGTTTCAGTCTGCTTGTTGTGTTTTTCTATTAGTTGAGGTGAAGAGCTCGACTGGGCTGTCCTGCTGGCACTCACAGTGATTGCATTTCCTTTGCTGCTCCTAGGACATGAAAGTTACATCACCTTTTGCCACTTGGAGAACGAGGCTGCCTTCACGTGCAGTGCAGATCACACCATTCGGAAGTGGGACGTGGTGACAGGTCAGTGCCTGGCCATTTACCGAGGACACACGTCAATTGTCAACAGGTTGGTTCTGTGGACTTCTTCCCTTGTGTTCCTGTAAGCTATTACACATATATTGCCATTTTGCTGCAATTTTCCATTGCTAGGCTAATAAAAAGGGTTGTGCAAACCTTTGAATTCATGCTCCATGCATCCTGGGCTGTAATGATGACTCTTCCTAGCAACAGTGCTGACACATCCATAGAGAGCAGATAGGAGAGAAATGAAAGGCACACAGCAGGGGAATTGAATGCAGGGCTGGGAATGAAATTCCAGAAGAAATCATTCAATTGATAACAGATGCTTCTGATAAAGAGATGTAAAAACATCACGTCAAGCCCTGGTGTCAGTAAGAGGGATAAAGTCAGGGCTTTTTCTGGAATTACTGTTCCTGTTTGTGCAGATGAAGTTTAATATTTAGCTGATTATGCGTGACTGATTGGCCTGTCAATTTAAAGACCCTCTTAATAGTTGGACTTGATTTAATTAATGACAAACAGAGCAGTCAAAGATTGATTTTTATTTATTATTTTTTTTCACATTTCTTTTTGGGTGGTTTTTTTTTGTTCCTTACTAAACTCCAAACACGTACGGATGTGTCGCTGGATTCTGTACATAGTTAGGAAGGCTGGCTCTGGCCTGATTTTTGCTGAATCAGCAAATGGGAAATGTGTTCTCTGTTCGTATGACTTTGTTGCCAGTTTGAAAGGTTCCAGAAGACCAAACTCAGCTGACAAAGAGGACAGGTTACGATGTCCCCTATCTCTGGTTTGGAAATACGAACTGTAGACATTTTTCTCCTGTTATATGTTTGTGCAGCTATAACTCACTATTCTGGAGGCTCAGTAGATTGAATTTTTGAGCTGTGACCTCTGATTTGCTTTTCAGTTGTGCAATTTGTGGGATGCTCTTGCTCTATATTTTTTGAGAACCTGGGCTAAGTGAAATTAGGTATATGTTCTTTCCTACTGTATGCACTCTCTTTTTTTGATGATGGAAAGATGATTATCTTTGCACACTCTCAGTTACAGTTCAGGTTCCTGGAAAGTAATTTTTTTTTAACTTCTATTTACTTTAACTACAAGCTATTTGATAGGTCAGCTTATAAATATTTATTTGTAAAAAACCACTGACAATTAATTATCCAGAATAAGGTTTGGGTTTGTTTTTGGTAAAAACAAAACCTCACAACAAACTGCTGGCTAATATATATAACTTATGAGTAGTACATAATAGTGCTGCTGGAAAAGAATTTAGAAAACCACAAATGCCCAAAGTTAAAATGCTACAATGTAAAAATGTCTGCATCAGTGTACCTAAATAAGGAAACAGGGAAGTATTTGTTTGTTTTTTAAACAAAACAACAGAAAGGTTCATAAATAATGTTTATTAAACAGGGACGCTGAGTTGGTAAGTTGTGTTCCTGCTGTTTCTAGCTTCAGGGTGCTTGGCATTGAAATGGTGACAAAAAAATGGTTCTGTATAAAGAGTGATACTGTTCATAGATGCAGGCTTTCTGTTTTGCAGGATCCTGGTTGCCAAGGACTATCTCTTCAGTGGCTCCTATGACAGGACGGCCCGCTGCTGGAGCGTGGACAAGGAGAAGCAAATCCAGGAATTCCGGGGCCATCGGAACTGTGTCCTGACTCTAGCTCACTATTCCTCCAGGGACGTTCTTGAGGAAGAGGAGGAGGAAGAGGAGGAGGAGGAGAAAGTGAGCAGAGACCTCCTGGTCACAGGTAGCACGGACTGCACTGTTAAGGTCTGGTGGGTGTCCAGTGGGCGCTGTTACCAGACTCTGCTGGGACACACTGGGGCTGTCTTATGCCTTATACTTGACGCACCAAACAGGGAGCTGTTCTCTGGCAGCACGGATTACACCATTCGCACCTGGAATATTGTCACTGGTGAGCAGCTGAAAGTGTTCAAAGAGCATCAAGGATCAGTAATTTGCCTAGAGGTAAGAACAGCGGCTTCTTCAAGAGCCGTTCATAGGGGTTATCCCTATCCTAATGTATGGGGGTCTCTGTTGTCTTTCCATTCCTAAAGAAGCTCTTCTGAGACAGATTACAAATGTTAAGCTTAAACATTTGTGTGATAACAAATTGATACAGCTCTGTGATCTTGAGACAAATCCTCTTTC